GCGACGCGACGCACAAACACACCGACCGTAACGCGCGCGCGATAACCTTCCTTCGTCGGTCCGGGATCAACTGAAATCGACTAACGTGGTGGGGGAGTCTCTTCGCTACGCTCGCTCACTACGGTGGTGGTCGCAGTGGTGGGGGATGATGGTGGTGCTGGTGCTGGTGGAAGATGATCGCTGGTCGTCATGGCGACGCTGGTGAGCGCGCTAATGTCACGAATCATCTCTCTCAGCCAGGGCCGTATCCATCCTCGGGCCCGGTTCTACCAGACATCTCTCGTATCTGTTCACCGGGTCTAATCCCAATGCTAATTAGATGCTTACTCTTTACCATAGCTCGGCAAAGACCCCAGTTGAACTCTCTTCAGTGCCGTGACATATTCGGCAAAATTTTGCCCGCTTAGCGAAAAATAAAGAGCGGATTGATTTGCGGCTGCAGATTTATATAAAATTATCTACCTGGATCTCTTGCGCGGTCGATCTTATCTAAGAAGATTTAAATAAACTATCTATTATGCGCTTATCCTGAAAAGCGCGACATAATTTGTTTTCTTAATTAAATTCAGTTTCACCGATTAAGATGAACTTTGAGATGTAACTTGGCTTAGATTTTGTCCTAAGAGTAGGACAAGAGAGATTTAAATAATCCATACAGCTTTTCGATAAGAAGCTCAATTTGTAATAAAAAGTTTGTTTTACGAATGGATCTCTCTTAAAATTGCATCACTGATATATTGATGCAACCGCATTTTAATTGTATGTACATACGGCGTTGCGACATACTTCGTCATTTGTGCTGGATAAAATATATACAATCTCGCGAAGAGAGCGGCAAGAGAGAGGCTGCGAGATGTCGCCGTTGAACGTTAAAAGTTGTCTATATCGATGCTGCAAAAAAAATCGCAAATGTCGGAGATATCGTTATAAAATCAATTTTTGGGAGAAATTAAAACTACAATCGATTTATTATCTTTTGCTTTCCTGTACTTTGCCTATCTCTTGCCTACGTCACTCTAACGGGATTTGCTCAGTGGATAACAATCCGATCGTACAGATGAGAGCCCCTGTTGATAACCTCAGCAATTATAATCAACAATCGGTATTTGTCGAAAACAAATTTCACATATTATCATATATCGATATACGTGTTGCTCTGTAAAATATGCATACCTGACGTTTCTTGTTTGAAATGTGAAGAAATAATCATTTGGTTTAATATATATATAATAACAATGTATATGAAGATAAACTTTATTTATGCTTTATTTAGTCCTCTTCAATTCGAATGAATTTAATATCATAATTATTGAAAAACCAGAAATAATTTTTTTAAAACAAGGATAATGATGAGATACGTAATTTTTGACGATCGATTGGAAGAACGAAAAAGTGATACAAATAAATAATTTTTGAGAAAATGTGATCTCTCAAAAAATCTAACAAGTTTCAATCGTCAATCATGCTGATAAATACTATTCAATCTTAGTCGAAATGTATATCTCGATTTGCAGCGTAAAAAAGGATATTCCAATGAGTACTACTAGTAAATTCCCACTTATCAAGCTAATAAATATTAATGCCAACATTAATCTTACATCGTAAAAAAGCACCCTGTTATAAATTGCGTAAGGAAACAACATATAATCTGATTTTTATCCTTGGCAAAGCAATATCCATATATAGATATAATTATATGTTGCACGAGAAAGAAAAGAAAAAAACGTTATTTACCAGGAATTTACAGAATTAACGATTTTATCGCACCTCTGGTGTAGCGTATGCTGTTATAGTTTACTGCGTTAAAGTTTCGGACACAATAATATTATGTATATTTGTATTATATAACTTATTTATTAAATTATTTATCTAGCTATATTTTGTGTTAATCTTTTTATTAATTTTAATTAATTAATTAATTTTATTTATTAAAAATTATTTATTTTCTATAATTATTTGTAATTATTTATTCAAATAATGCCCGATATTGGCTTCTACAGATCTCTTCATGCTACAAATGTTTCTAATCGCACGTCACAGATCTCTCGACAATCGTCACAATCTATTATTCACTATCTTTTCTACCATTAGTATTGAAAAACAATCTCGATATCACACACGTGAAATACCATTACAAAACGAGCATGTGTGTGTCTATTGTGGGCAGACTATATTTGTAGCTCGCAGAAAGAAAGACTACGATAGACAGGGGATTGTAGTCAACCTTGGCATCGCATCTCTCGTAACATAAATCGCTTTGTCAACACCGGACGTTTTAATAAAAATGATGTACGAAATACATTGTATAGAAAATACCTAACATTGTCGAGTACGGCAATCAATGCCGTAATGTGATCTTTCCTTCTTGCATAATATTAGTAATATTAATCAAGATATAATAGTAATCAGATATTTGTGCGAAAATGTTATGTATCGAGCATTGTGAGCGCGACACGCTATATTCCCGTTCATTTACATTTTGACTTAAGGTGATGCCGGAGTCCTGTTTTACCGGCCATAATAATTACACTTTGCAGACCGAAATTTTTTCTTCGACTGACTATGTCCGTTTTACGGATAATTGTAGAATCTTTATAAAAGATAAAAGATATACCCGCGATTATTCTCATTATTTTTCTGATAAGTCGCTAACCGTGCAACTTCTATAATCTCGGATCGGAGATAAAATTTATAACAGTTTGATGTGTTTAAAAAAGATCTGTAATTCATAAGAGTTGCTTTAAATATACTACCTCAATTTAAAACAATCTTATCAGAATTATAGATTTGATCCACTACAATATGTGTGCATCGAGAAGCAAATTAGAGTACTTGAACAAAAAATAGAATAAATAAAAGTGAAGAAGAGGAACATATAAATATATAATTTACATCACGCGTTAAATTTTAAAATCATTATGTTCATATATACATATAGTACATTGTAATATTTTCGAATCAATTTTCAAATGTTTTTCAGATTCCTTTCTTTCTCTCTCTAGTCTCAGGCTGCGTTCGGGAACAGCGTCGTTCTATCTTGGTTATTTACTGAAGATTGAACAAGGACCGAGCACGCTTATAGTGCTAAAAACATGCTCTCCGAACGTATCCTCAATATCCTATATAAACAAGATCTTTATACACACATGTAGATAAGATAATAATTTATTTTTATTATTTATAGAAGCAATAAATAAGATCAACTTTATTTATAAACGTTTTCTTTTATATTTGTAGTCTGCATCAAATAATAATATATAATTAATTCTAATTAATCATAAGTAATTAAATGATAATTCTTCATTATTTATAAACGTTAAAAATTTTCCTTTTATTTTTTGCTCAAACGTGCAAATTATATATTAATAAGAAATAAATAATCGATTATCATATATGATAAGCATTATCTACGCTTATCTCGTAATGATAAAAAGCAAGAAAAATTGATATGCATAAGATGTGCATAAACATGCGCAATGTCTCCTCACAAATGTAACAAAAACTAGAATACAAGCGACATAATATGTCACGTAATGAATTTATTATTGAGTAATCATATTTATTATTGTATTGTCTGTGTAATAATATTATACAGACTGTATTATAATATTATAATGTTAGCAAATAGTTTTAAAATCTCTATATATAATGTAATTAATCATAAGTACTGTAATTATTTCATACTCATTACACTCTCACCTATTCATATAATTTGGACATTAATTAAATATACCTAATTTATAAGTTGAGCATTAATTAAATATGCGTGAAGTATGTGATAGGTTTATAGAATGTTTATATTGTGTACATAATTATATATGAATATAATTATGCACGTACACTCAATTTGAGCGGAAAAATGAAACAAAGTACAATTCAACGTAGGATATATCGTATAAAATTCAGCATTTTTATCGAAACAAAAAATTAAATAGTTAAAGTTTAATCAAGCGTTAAACCAATAAAACAATCAATGATTCATGTCACAATCTCGAGCTTCTGTCTGTTAACCATTAATTATGCAAAATGATCGTAAATATGTATAATAGCGGACATACGTGCTCATTTCGTTTGTATTCTGTTGCAATAAAGATTCTGTTATTATCGCTGATGAAATTTTCTCTGACTGAGCATGCATATACACACATTTAAGAAATTTGATTTAAAGATTTTTAATTTTATTTTGGAGTTTTATTCTATATAATTTTTAAGATTCTCGAAGTCAACTAAAAGAAACAAATCAGTCAAATATTATTCTGGTCTTGCAGCAAAAGGGTATTCTCGAATAAATTATTTCTTTTATTGTATATCAACGGAAAAGAATATGCGAATTGCTAAAAAAAAAAATCAGAAACAGTAATCTAATGATATCTAATAACGAGCGACAACAATCTTTTACCGTGTCAGAGATTGACGGATCGTTCTTTTTACATATAAATCATCCTGTTTGGTATTTCGCGATGGATTCAGCGCTGAAAGTAATTGTTTGCAATGAGACTCGACCTGTCCTCGATAAAAAATAAATCACGTTAACGTTAAAGTCAATGCGTATCTTTTAATCCCATCAGATTAAATGGCTCTTTAATCGCGACATGAAAACATTATTAATGTAAACGAGATATCAGCGAGATAATCCCCGTTCAAATCGTACGCGCGTTTGAAAATAAATTGCGCAAATAATCGCGTACATCTATCGTAAAAAAAGACGAATTAGAAAAGATTGATAAGAACGAACAGTTCACTTTGATTAGAAAATTTTACAGAGTGTCTATGAGCGCGGTTATATTACGTCAAACGATGCCACAATGAGTTTGTCAATGCATGCGGTAGTAGATCTCCGTATACGAAAGGGACTCGTCCCAAGTACATCAGTGCAAGGGGAACCCATTTACTCTGATCGCCACAGATCTCACTTCCTAATCAAATTTAATGGAGAAATAAACGAGGGGGAGATATATTATATATGTCGCCGGATAGTAGTGGCCTGCACCCGATCGTCCTTCTTACACTGTCAGTGCGTAGTTGCCAGTACACGTTAAAGGAGACAGGATACCGTACGCGTCTTTTAACGAGGAAGTGATAAATGGCCGTTCGTCAGGGCCAGGTACGTATAAGCGCAATACGTGAGTTTTTTTATAGAGAACACGAAGAGTTCAAATTTATTTTTAGCATACCTTCGCTTCTTGACATTCTTTATACGCGATTGCGTGTAATTAAATCATCGTGAATCGTTGACATAATATATGTTATATTATGCGATATCATTTTACTATTTCTACAAAAAAAATATGCGTGCAATCTAATCTAATAATATGTAAATATAAATAATGAATAAATAATATAATTATATACTAGAATCTATATTCTCCTTATCTGAATGTAAACTATATATGTTTAAATGTAAATGTAATTTCATTATTGTGATGTCATTTTTTATCACAACTCAAGCAATTATAATAAAATATTATAATTTATAAGTGAGATATCTATGGAACTCTGTCATATAACTTAAATAATAAGCATAACATTAATATACAAATAAAAAAACGCGTTATTCTGTCTTATTTTTAGCAGCGATTAATCATTGTGCATCACAATCTTAATATTATAAATATTTTCTTAATTCTACGCAGCAATGCCGGTCTTTCTAAGTTCGGATTGCAAGGAACGCGATTCATATAAGCGACCATGCCAATAATAACCACTGCTAAATATCTATGTTTAAACGCCACATGAAAGCCAAGCCGAGACGAACGCACGATTTGAATATATTATAAAAATAATTGTTCAAAATTATTTCATTAAAATTGTTTTATAAGAACAATAAAATATAAAAAAATTTAAATCTTTAAATTTAACTTCTCTTAATTTATTGTTATACAAATTATCCGTAAATACGATAAACATCGTGATCAAATAAATCTGGACAGCGGTGCGAATATTGCTGCTAAATTGTCGATTCGAATCATTCAATCAGAATCAATTCCTACGCATTAACGATCAATTGAGCACCACGTGCCATGGGACACATAATCGCGATACCGTCAATATGATATAAAAGATAGCTGATACATCGTGCTGCCTGTCATCTACAGATTCTACTAACTGATTTAAAATCAATTTTTTTTCCGATAAAAACAAAGTCCTCAAAAATGAAATTTGAAAGATGCGAACAAATAAAAGGTTTATTAAGATAATTAAATTTGAATGTAAGATCTTGTATTTAAATTCATGTAGATGTTTAACGTTCAGCTCTTTGACGTTTGGTTATCTAGATAATTAATGTTGAAAATTAAACGGTTCCCCCAAAAAGACAGCGTTTTACATCATATCTATGACAGATAAAAATTCAAAACTGATTAAAGAATTTTTAGATGAAGTATTTCGCTAAATCCGGGACACCCTGTACTGCAGTAGCTTTTGACGCAACAGAATATTCCCAATTAATATATTGCTAATATATTGCTAATGCAAACTAATAACTCATCGAATGATAGCGCGCTTATCTAAGTGCTCGATATATCCGTGCAAGTCATTAAGCAAAGGACAACCATTATGATAAACAGAAATGACTAAACATGCCGATAACACAGGTCTGCATAATTTTATATTTTTTCTGCGATCTGAAAAAAACGAGTAGCTTTTATATGTTGTAATTTTTTGTGCGCTGAATCTAAATTCGCAAGGCAAAATGGTCTATCACGTCAGATTTTCGAGAAAAACGGGGTTGAAATCTCACAAAAAACGCGTTTTTTACCATTTTTTAAAATTTGTAGCAGACAAATCCGATGTGCAAGAGACTTCAAATAGGGCTCAAATGAAAGCTTGAACATTGGACTTTAATATAAAAATATCGAATCTTTTACCGCAAGTATCATCGAATTTCAGACGCGTTTTGTTTTTAGGTGTAATCGTACTGTATGTAAGTAGAACGATTACCCCATGCAGTCCGATGCAAAACCATTGCAAACAGTAAAAGTTTTAATCATAGATTCAATACACGAGATTAAAAGTGCTTGATCGCACTAAAAACGTTTTTTTTTCATTTGTTAAAAAAAATTATAATTTTTTTAAAAAAATTGTAATTTTTTACTGTCAACTGTGAGTAAATAATTTTACTCACTTTTAATCTTGATGCGATTATATCTTAAAACAAAACGCGCCTGAGGTTCGATAGTACCTGCGGTAAAAGATTCGATATTTTTATATTAAAGTACAATGTTCAAGCTTTCATTTGAGCTCTGTCTGAAGTCTTTTGAATATCAGGTTCATCTGCTACAAATTTTCAAAAATTGTTAAAAAACGCATTTTTTTGGAGTTTCAACACCGTTTTTCTCAAAAATTTGACGTAATAGATCATTTTACCTTGCGGATTTGAATTCAGCGCACAAAAAGACTGTAGGAAACTATTCGTTTTTTTTCAGACCGCAAAATCAGGCAGACCTGTCTATTCATTTACGGCAATAATAAACATTTTTTGCAACGCACGATGCGTTACAGTCGTGTGCGAGATGCGATTTTATCCGCCATTCACAGAATGTCTCGACGCATAAAATTTATAGTTATTTATGCATCTATCACGGGCAATCAGGATCACAGCATCCGGCATCTGCGCGCACAATAACGCGCGGATAAAATTGATCGGATACAGCAGAGCAATAGAAGCAGAACGAGGCATTTCGCAGGTGCAATCAAGTATATACTTTGCTTTGTTCTGACGCAATACACCCGCGTGTACAGATCTCATGTGATACGCGACGAATGCATTATTTGCATCCGCTAATCGTTGAGTTTGTTCCGACAAATTTTCGCTCACATCAAGCGATCGCAATCGCAGTCACACTTGAATGTTAATGGCTTTAGACATTAACGCTATTAATTTTTACAAATTTCGGCAAGATTCGTTTCAATACTTGTTTCAATTGTACATTTTTGTAGGATACAAATATATCTTGAGATTACCTTAAATCTAATCTTAAATCCTTTCCTCTTTCTTGCACGATGCATGCAAAAACATAAAAAAAAACATATCTTAAGCATTTTATGTGTATCCCTATTTTTTAATATACAATAATTATTCTATTTAAGAAATAGATAGTAACAATATCATATAGAACAAAATGTTAGCAAAAACGAATATTGTCTTTTTCAGGTCTTTCTAGTCATCTAATGTGAATTCATCACATAAAAAAATTAATAGACTATATACAATAAGAGAATTTTTTTTTTCGTCATAATGTTCCGCCTTCTTTTTCTATCAAACATAAATTTATTTGAGATCATAAAAATTAAAAAGATAATAAAAGAGATAATAAAAGTTAATTTTTTTTGTTAATAGCCTTTTACGGCTGATCAAGCAGGAGCGATTGATTCATTTTGAAAACAGATCCATTGCGGTCTATAACTGTACTATCTCTAGTTAAATGTTCGCATTTATACGCGTTTACGTATTGCATCAGTATGCATCTAGTGTCTGCCTAGTGCATCTGTCTAGTTAGTCTAGTAAACAGTTTAATTCTTGCGTGCAATCTAATGTCAATATTAGTCCGCAAAATAATTTCAAGGAGATTCGACAGACTTATATGCCTTAGAAAACGGACATTGACGTAAATTGATTCTCGAGTTAATATAACAATTCAATCTTAATTAATAGATATATGTGTGATATTGATTTTAATATATACATATATATATTCTCTAGCAAAATATTTATTTAACAATCTTACAAGTAAATTGTGAATTATTAGACTAATTCGTTATATGGTATATCTCTCACGATTATTTAGTCCATTTTGAAGCGGTCGTGAATCAAATTTCATAAAGGATCGTATTACACAGTCATGTTGAGGATAACGTGTTAGTCGACACGTGCAAAGACGTTCAACACGACTTTAATTTTAAAATAAATAACGTCTTATAAATTTCAATTTATCGAAAAAAAAAAAAACTAAAATATCGGAGAGAGTAGGTTGCAATTTTAAAATATTTTAATTTCTAATAATTCCAGACGATTTTTATTTTTGAAACACAGAAACTCAAATTAATAACATATTAATTTTTTTCAGATATACAAGATATTAAATACGAGTAATAACAGAACAAGTAGAACTAGAGGTTTTCTGTGTTAGCATAATTTAATCTTTTCGTACGATACAAGGGATATGCAAATGCATAGACGAAAGATTCGATCGAAATTAACATAGGTCTCGTTAAATTGACATTTCATTTTTTAGCAATTAGATGCCACAGTTTATCAGAGCTGATATAAACTAATATTAACTTGGTTCATTTATAATTAGTTTATTCATCAAAAGTCCATAGCACTTATTGTTTAAATAATCCTAGGTATCTAAACCTATTGCATTTTTATTCCGATCTTTTTTATTGTGATTTTTACCATACTTTTAGTTATTTTTTTTTAGTTATTTTATAATTAATTTCTCAAATCTCACTTTTTTTTCAGAAAGTCCATTTGCTCAAAGAACTGTGATATAATCTGATAGGAAGCGCAGTCTTTAATAAAAATAAATATTTTCAATTTTCAGTTAAGAGGAAGAACAAAATGTTACGACGATGTTTTGATATCTCTTCTCTATTTTTATCATAATATAAACGGAGGGGTGTGTCTTATCGTGTATCAGAAAACGTTTCGTTTTTGCTGAAGTTTTATTCGCATAATGAACGGTATATGCATTCGATAGTAAACGCAATAGCAAAAACACAATCCTATTGACCGTTCACTCAAGGCCGTAGTATTCCGCCTATAAAATAGCCTCTTTAAAACCGACTTATCAAAACAAAATACATTACGATCATGGTGAGACGGACAACTTGTTCTTCATGCCAAAGGCACTCCAATAAATCGCAAGCACGCCTTAAGTTAACATGATAAAATTGACCTTCCCAAGATTAAAGATTCCCATTCGAGGAATGTATGCTTGCGGTTATTTTCATCGAACACCAATTTAATTTAATTGGACGAATCGAATATCGAATGTATGAGTTCCACACGATTAAAGTTTCATGGCCACTATTTTTTATTCTTTTTTTTTTATATCAGTTTTTTCGCGCAATTCCAATATATTTTTTCAACTGCACCAAACATCTTTTCTATCAATTTTTTATGTTATCTGTTTATTTGATATATTTTGTCTTCTATATTTTAATTTTATAAGTAATTTATTACAAGTGTAACAAAAGAAATTTATGTAAATGATAAAGAATGATGGAACAAAGACCTCTCTGAATATCAGGATATTTGATACATCGATAGATATACGATATCACATCCAGAAGCGATCGAGTTTCGCATCACTCTAGCATCGAGCTAAAAACTCTCGACTAACGTAAGAGAGAACGGTGCTAAGAAATTAATATCGTATATAAAGATATAGTAACAAAAATTACAGTAGTTTATTGGCATATAAGTTCGGGTCCGTGTATATAAAATTATCTAAGAAAACAAAAATTTGCATCGATCCACTAACAAGAGAAATATTCAAAGCAGTTGATACATTTAAAATATAACGATTTATTCTGCATTTCAAGGACAATTTTTCGCTGTTCTAATAAATTTTTTTAAGGTTGCCGTTCCTCGTATGACAAAATTTTACCATTCACTGACTGTGTTATCCCCTCTTTACCCGTCGAATGTGAAAAGTATTATAATTAGAATATTCGTTCAGGATTTCGTTAGCGCATCCGGTTCGAAAGAACCGGAGAGAACGTTCAAGAGAGACTATATTTCATTGTCGATCGTTTATCGATAGTTTCACTTATCGAATGTCGCGATCAAAGGACGCCACCATCGTGATGATTCGCAATTCCTGCCGCACCTCCGCGCGACTTAAGTCACCGTTGCTACAGGCGATATTGGCTCGTTAAAAGCTGATCATTTTCACCGAAAACGAATAGTTTTTAATTGTGTTTAATCTGCGAATTATTGTAAAAATGATCATTTTTTCTCCGATTATTGTTGCAAAGAAAATCAAATTTTGAATGGATTTTAAATAAATCTACCATGTGTCGATGCGAGATACTTTATATAATGTATGGCGAGAGAATCAATAAATCCTATATATTTAGGATAAGAATAACATGAATTGAATTATACGATCCTTACTATTGTATTGTCTCCAAGGTACCATGTCTTATTTTAGATACGACTTATACGGTTACATCAGTAACCTTCATACCGGGAGTGACCATTCGTCATTGTCTTTGACATGTCCCGTTCTATATTCATATAGCACAATCATATCATTATATGGAACGTAAACGACCTCAGCGCAAAATGCTAAAAATCTATAGACAAAATGATATATTTATAGATGATTTATAGACAAGATTTCTCCATATGTATATGGCAAATCGATTTTTCGATGCCCGTACATAATGCAAATTATAATACTAGGTAGATTATTGTAACGTCAGCGATTTTTCGATCATTACGTTAATTTAAAGTCGCAGATCGAATAATGAAGTGATATTAATTTCATATTCCCATGTTTTCTATTCGCTCATTAAACACAAGAAAGTGTCGGTTCGACAAGAACAGATAGCAAGTGGGATTCTGATTGGACGGATCTATTTGCAATATTTTCCGTTCCGTTTCAAGAAACGTACATGTCCATACAAGTAGAAGATAAATATTAACTTTCCGTTAATTTAATTGCTTTTCGATGTTAAATAATGCCTAATGCATATAATAAAACAAGTACACGTTTGAGTGTTAAAAGTATACGGATGTACCAATTAACGTTCATTATTTCTTACAATATGCGCAACCATGTTACGTCAAACAACAACGTCAAACAAAAGTTATTCTCCGATTTCATATACAACACGCGATGCTACATTTTTCTATAAATTCTAAATAGCAAACCGACCCCAAATCAGGTTGTCTTGCGGATTATTATCTATCTGCATGTAATATAGAATCACGCACTGAACTCGCGAAATCTATTCTAGATATAAAAATATTTAATATTAAATTTTACATGCGTATTCTAATAATATAAACGCAAGTTAAATAGGCCACATATTAAACATATAAAATATGAAATGTTTATATTATTTAGAAAATGATCAAAAAATTATTGTCTCTATATATCTCCGAAATTTTTATTTAATCTCTTATGTTCTCAATGCAATGTTATTCAAAGTGGTAAAGACGCAGATCTACTTGGTTTATCGTAACAAATTGTAGCAAAATTATACAAATCTTTAGCATAATTACATAGTGATAATCGCGATCGAGATATTACTGACAGATATGCTTCGATATTAAAATGTGAATGGAGGCGTTTACCAACTCTAAGTATCCTAAACTATATATGGCTGTCCCTGAACCTGCAAGCACTCCTTCTGCCGCTATTACAGAACGTATATAAGATAGACGGCATGCTATCACAATGCGCAGTGTTAGATTACCATTGCATTCGACGACAGCAACTGACAGCATTTTAACGCTTAGGACTTTCTTCCACGCAATTGTTACACGCAACTTATACACCGACGTTTTCGCGATCAAAAAATTTCCGAAAGTTATTCTACGCTTCATCGAACAAAGAAGTGTAAAAAAGTTTGCGAATCTCATATCATTCATCATGGAGAAAATACACGCGTCAAATCTGGTCAATGCGATGTGTATCGCCAGTGACAAGACCACTACCAGTTTCGTGAAAGAAAAACCGAAGATTACGAGATACTCGGTAAGAAAATAGGGTGGACCAACTCAATAAGAAATCCAGAAGAGAATTAAAATAATGCAAAAATTGAGATCGATGGAATTGAATATCGTATTGTAATGGTTTAAAATCTGAATCTTCAGGTGTAATAATTTAATCAATTATTAAAGCGTAATAATTTAATTTAAATATATCGTGTGAGATGTTTTTTTTAGAGCAAGATTCGATATAATTTCAGAACGTTTTATTCTTGATGCGATAGATATGGAAAATTATATTTTAAATGAATTAAAAATCGTGATGCCCCAGCAGCATAATTTCGATTCACGGCCGTTATAATTTTTATTATTTACGTTACACATTCGTTTCCTTTGAAATTTCACTGTTTTATTTTGGATGAATATAGGAATCGTCTTTGCATGTGCTTATCGTATCGAAATTTTACCACAATGCAATTTGTAATCACTGGATATGATGATACTTTTTCAAAGAATCAAGTTATACTTCTATGTAGAGAAAAATAGAGAGAAAGGGGGATATGTTCGTTGCTCTTCATGTAATGTATAAGAAAACGTTCAGCGCGATGATGTAATCATTTTCTCACGGCAATTGTCGGAAATAAGAGATTATTATGCAGATTATTAATTACACTGAAAGAAACTAAACGTAAGATCTCTTAATGCAAGTAAGGATGCGCTACCCTTGGCGTGACGTAAATCAGATGATGACAAGGGCATTCTTATAGAAACGCAACAATGCATAATGCTGAAGTACCGGTTACTTTAATTGCGACAAATATTATCAGCATATTATTTAACAATTATCTTCAAAATCATTTGCCAATGGAAGGACATTTCGAGCTACACGCGAATAATAACATTCAAGGAAAAGAAGTTTTACACGTTTCACATTTATATTTTGAACAACGTGTCGCGATGTTACAGTAACAATGCAGACGTCTAAGAGACAAAATTCATAATTCTAAATCTTCAAAAAAGAGTGTCTAAAAGTAGATATCATGAAATTCATTATAATTTTCCTTTAGATCTTTGCGTCGTTCGCGAAGCTCGTGCCAAAACGCACGTTATACACGCAAAAGCGATCTTATTGACTCTTATAAATCACTGCCTAGAAGTAGATCAATGATAAATTAGCACTGGGTGACGTTGACCGCTCAATGAACGATCAACGTCATAAATACGATAAAACGGCGTTGAATAAATGGTCACACGCGTATCAACGCCGACATACAGCGTAACAAGCTGGAGAACACTCCCATTTATGATAATCTTCTCCGAATCCCCGATCCAAGAAGTATAATTTTTCATACAAATTATACTGAATTTTTTATTGTCGTAATTACATGCTTTACGTCTCGGTCTATTCAATATCCCATTAAGTACAGATAGCTTTAATTAAAAAATCTTCATCTACATTTTCGATTAACGGCAATCGATACTGATAATTTGTCAGATATTTTCAGGATAGGATATCGACTATTCGATTCGTCATAAAATACCAATTTCAAATTTTCTTTAAATTTCTAAATATATCAAATTTTAATTATATAAATTAAAGCAAAAAATGTATTATAATCTCTTCTCCTATAATATTAAATAAATTTCTCTAAAGCCTCATAATTGCATAATATCCTATTTTACAACATTCTTATTTCAGTTAGCCGATTCGGCCGACGGATTGAACAGTGATATGGACTATCACATCGAGATAATTAACAAGGACGATAAATCAAGGATACTAAAATTCCTGAGAAGGTTCTTCTTCAGGGATGAACGGAGAGAACAGTACTTGCATGGAATTGGAGGACTATTGCAGCTATTCGTCGTTCGAAAATAATTTGAGTTTAATGGCGGTTACTACGAGTGGTGCAATTATCGGTGTCCTGCTCAATGGTAAGATTGCAATTAATTTTACCGTTGGATTTTTTCAGTTTTTCCTTCCGTATGCATTTATTCCTATATCCGCGATAGATTTCAAATTAAGTGATGATTTTCGCATCTGCTTACACACGCAACCGAGACATGAATATTAAAGGAAGATAAAAATAAATGTTTATTCATACGATAAATGCTCTACGAAACTTCTTTTTATTTGTAGACACATTTTCTCTTTAAATCTTAAAACGAAAACATTGTAATTATAATCACTCGCAATGAATTTCAATGAATTTTTCATGCATTTTATATAATCTAAATGAATTATCTTGTTGTATTTTTCCAGTATAGAGTGTGTTAGTCATTACGTATGTGTGTGCATATATTCTTATAGAAATAAATTTTAGCGAAAACGAACAATTTTTTCTAACCCACAAAAGATTGAATCATCAATATTTGTTCATTAAAACTGTTTTTGCTTTAATCTTGCTGATATCATTAAAGTGATTGAAATTCTACAATCGTTTATAATATTACATTAAATGTTGCTCTTGTTAGTTTGATATCCTATATCTGCGATCAAAGAAGCATTCGATGAATATACATGTACCCGTTATAAAAGATAAACATTTATTTTGATCTTCCTTTAATACGCATGTGTCTCGGTTGAACAGATGCAAAAATTGCCATTTAATTTGAGATCTATCGCATATGCAAATAAATTCAGAAAAGAAACTGAAAAAGTCCAACGGTACTATTCAATGTTACGTAAAATGTTATGGATCTCGAATAATCTCGTGAGTTATTAATTATCCGGTACCAGTTGTGATTCAAAAAAGATAATTACATCTCTGCGATTTATCTGCTGATAAATATATATATATATTTAGATTTAAATGCACATAAGACACGCAAATAAGCTTACGCGATATTCGAAAATTAGAATTGGAAATTATGCATTGCGTGAATCTCTCTCTCTCTCTCTCTCACGCCAACGATATCGCGAAAAATATTAATCAAGAATTTAAGCAATTAACGACTATAGATAAATAATAATATAGTATAGATAATAGCTTAACGTGCAACAGCACGAAAATAGCAACAGACTAAAATAAGCATTATTCAATTAAAATTTATATTTTTTTCAAAGTAACATATTTAAAAAAAAAAAGAAACATTATATCTTTATGTGAGAAGATTAAAAAAGTATTATGTTTCCATATAAAGTTTCCAATAATAGATTTATATATTACAATTTTTATAATGTTCGAGAAAAATATTAACCAGATATCGTTCATTTGATCTCTTAATATGATGAATAATTTCATTGCAAAGTTCATAAAAAGATGATATAACGCACTCTCACAAAAAAGAAAGAAAATATTTTTTCTCACTAAATTAAAAAGATAGTTATATATCTATTAGGTTCATAGAATAATTTGCTTTTTTCATCGATATTTTTTTATTATATCAGATAATAATAAGATTAATGGAACAGTCGAAACATTTCATTTCTTTAACTAAATTTTTTGTACAAAAAATAAATTATTATATTTTAAACTGAGGAAGAGTTCAATCATCCTATATGGAAGTATAATATTTTCTCTCTCTCTTTGGACTTTTAAACGGCATCACGTGTACCGTTGTCTGTCGTATCAATTATGCGGTTGTTAATTTAATTCATGGCTTGTCTGGTAATTAATAGTCGTCGTTAAAGTAATAGTAAACGCCCTGCGTGGTTGTACATACTACATATGTAAATGGGACCATATCTATTAAAATAATTTTTCATTTTCAAAACCTCGTATGAACATTGAAATCCAAGGAGAACTAAAAAAAAGTATTACTTTGGAAACATCACGAACAACCGCCAATGAATGTGCAAATGATCTACATCGCGGGAAAAGGAACCTTTAATCATCAATTATATTAACTTAATAGCCGCATATTAATGTCTACTAAATAGCAACGTTGGTTCTGTCTATTAAGCAACATATGTTGCATTATCGCCATTACATGCATTTAACATAAATTACTTATATGTAGCTAGTATTTTGTAGTATATACAAAGAATTTATCTTACTTTTTCGCTACAGGTAAAACAGATCCCCCACCGGATGAAGAGCCAGAATACATAAAGTCATGCAAAAACCCAAAATTTAAGAAAATATTGAGATTATTGCATCATATAGACAAAAGTGTGAATGTAGATGGACAATTTCGAGATTTAAACGTTTTGGAAATCAAAATAATCTCAGTAGATACAAATTGGAGAGGAAAAGGCGTTGCAAAGGCTCTCATAGAAAAAGCAATGTGAGTATTGTCTTAATAATAGATTTAGAGCTCAATATGAACGACGCGTTCAAATGAACGTTATATTTTTTACTTATCTATCTTTAGAGAAATTGCGAAGGAGCAAGGATTTCATTACGCTAGGGCAGATTGCTCGTCCTTATTTTCCGGCAAACTTTGTGCACGAATTGGCTTTGACGCGATATACAAACTCGATTATAACGACTACGTGGATGAAGAAGGAAAACCAATTTTTTCACCTGCTTCGCCTCACACAGCAGTTGTTAGTTACATAAAAAAATTATAAAGAGCAAAAAAATTAAATAAAAAGTTGGTATTAGAATAAAAAAGTGGTCGTCGGAATCGATAACAAACAAGAATTCAGTTTGACAAGAAAATATTAAAGATGTATAATTGAGATATTTGCTCTGTGTTTTATCTTTTCTTCATGAAATAAACATTTCTTTAAATGCACATACAATCATAAGTAAAAAATAAAATATTTTATAAGAATTGTTTCAGACATGATAGAATGAAAGCACATTCTCATTACTTTTATGTATCATCTGTTATGTATGTAATATTATATATTATGACACTTTCAATTTTTTTAAATAAATAAGCAAAGCCTGATAATAAAAATAATATAAATTTTTATCCCTCTTCAAAAATCACACAAATAGAAAAGATCACGTTTATTTTTATTTCTAATAGAGAGGAGAAAAGGATGTCGAGAAAAAATGTGTGAAAACAAAATACTCATGTTTAATAATAGACTTTTTAATTTAGTTTTTGATAAATTATTCATACTAAAATCAATTGCTATCTTTATCCAGGAACTCATTAAGATCCTTTGCAGAATTAATATTCTCTATGACATATTGACTATCATTGGATTTGTTATGTGCTACATTTCTAGTCTGTTGGTATTCATTTTCTAATTCATTATTTCGAAGATTCACAATCTTTTTCATTCTAATAGAATAAACCATAAAAATAAAGTGTACCAACCCCAACCCAAGAAATAGAAAAGCCATTACACGACCAAAGTGTGCATTTGGTTTTTGTTGAGGTGGTGGCCATGGTCCTCCCGCTGTACGTACTTCATATTCCCATCGACTCCCATATTGGCTGCAATAATACATTCCATTTTCTTCATCAATTACATTATATTTTTTATATCTGTACATATTAAATAATATGTAGAATCAATTGTAAAAATAAATCTTTTGGCAGCCTTTTTTAGAAAAACATTCAAAATATTCTATTTTGGCATTAAAATAATCACTGAAAATAATCATTGAATTTTATGGCTTATTTCCAATATATTTTTAGAATAGTATAAATACATACACACACACACACATATTAATTCAATAATTTTAAATTTTTATATTAGTTTTTGGTGAAAATAGAAAACCAGTGATGCAAAAGTAGAAATCTAAAAAATAACAGTTGTTTCCATATTGCATAATCAATGAATATATTCATCTCTTTTTATATACTCAATATTCGATATTTAATATTCGATAAATGTTCAATATAAAAGGGACTTCATCAATTTATTTGAAACTTATATATTTTGTTTCGAAAAATAAAAAATGTGATTGATTATATTGTAAAATTCTAAGAGGAATCTATATAACTGAACTGAACGAATATAGTGGCATGAGATACTGTGTGGCTCACAAGGGAACTTCGCGAACCCGAAAATTTTGATTCTGATGAAACTTTAGACATGTAGGAGGGCTAATAATAGATAAATTTAGGAATGTTCAATTGCGACCCAAAAACGGTTCTAAGAGGTGAAAGCATCCCTCATATGTATAGAACGGTATTTTGCTTTTCTCGATATATCTCGAAAATTATTCTAGATATTTAATAAATTATTTCTAAATTATTAAAAAATGTTTTATGCAAAAGTTTCATGGTAAAAACAATTGTATATGTTTTTAATTATTTCGCGCTTGTCTACAATGTTCTTTTTTTGAGGTTTTCTACCCAAAATATATAGAATATGTAAGTTAAAAAAAAAAATGGTTGGAGTGTTATATATATATATTAAATATTTACTCCATTTTCTAAAATATTATACAAATTTTACCTGTTTTGTGAGTTATATGTATAGGATGGATTGCTTTTACTGTACTTCAAGCCTAAATCATATTGGCGTCTAGTATTTTCTTTCCCCAAAATCGAATAAGCCTCATTCAATTTTACAAAATCAGAATGACTGTGTTTTCCACTAGTATCAGGATGTAGCTAGCAAAAACAAAAGTACAATTTATATGACTTAAGAACATAGAATAGTTAAAATAGAAGCACGTTATGTTTGGTTTTATTATATCAGACAAGCTAAAGAGAATATTTATATTTAATCCCATCTCGATTAAAAAATGAATTATCTATAAAATTATTTATAACATACTTGTTTTGACAATTTAAGGAAAGCTCGTCTGATTTCTTCTTGCGATGCATTGGATGAAACATTTAAGGTTCCGTAATGATCTTGTTGGTATCTTTAAAAGAAACTGCGTGCTATATTGAAAGTATTAGGTCTGTCCTTTTTAGCAATACCACAGTACATATTACACTTTTAATACTCAGGATGAAATAAATATATATTTCAATATATCGAAGAGAAATAAAAAAAAGAAAACAAAAAAAATATACAGAAAATATCGCTAAAAAGAACAAGTTTGCTGCAGTTTGACAGCAAAATAAGGATAACTAACCTATGAGTTCCATAACTTCTAACTACCCAACAGATTTCCGGTTTACACATTCGAAAAAGTTGTGCCATCATTTGCAGTATCTTCGAATGAAGCAATCATTTCGGCGACATTGCAAAACATTTTGCGCATCAGAGATTAATATGTCAGACGAACTCTGCCTCTGCCATTATCTACGCAATGTAAAAATAACATGTCGACTGTCGACATGTATCGCTGATATTTTCAGAGAGGACGTGTTGGTTGCATAAGTTTGTAAGGTAAATTCCTTTATAAGCGCGCTCGATATACTAACTCTATAGTTGATAAACGAAAAAACTGCTTTAACGGCTCCTAAGAGCAGAGAGAAGCTACACCGCCATTTGTCGTGAGACTGTTTCCCTAGCTGATACAGTGGCGCTAACTAGATCCACTTTAGAGCCGGCAGAACTACATAGCCAAATTCACTTTTTGATGCTATGGTAAAACGACCGGTTTTGGTGCATGTCCGTGCTAAACACATCGTGGATCAAAAATGCAGAGAAATATTATGGATTTATTAATGTTTTATTAGCTGCACATGATATTTTGTCATTTTAATATATAGCGATAATAAATTATAATTGAAGTATTTTTATATATATGCGCATGTAAAATGAAATAAATTCTCTTAAATAAATTTTTTTAATAATTTTATTCCTAATTTTTAAATATAACGTGTAGAAGATATTTACAATAAATTGCTTTCACTTTTTTCTTATTCTTGAAAAAAATTAAGCATTTTAAACATTATCAAATCATGCTTTTAATTTATATAATCTTTTATTATTAATTTTTTTTTATAATTATATTATTCAATTAATGTTTTAATTTATGAATTCAGTTGGCTGCACTAGTGCGCACCAATGCACATTAAAAACTATTATAAACAAATATATATATAAGCATAATTAATTATATTTTCTTATAGTTTTAACCGTGTTCTATTGTTTTTTAAGTAGTTTTAATTGTTGATAGCGTTAATTAATTTGTTCACGTTCATATGATCGCCGGTGATACTATCAGCTATCAGATTTTCGCAAAATGTCATAAAATGTCAAAAAATCGCGATATCTTGTGCAATATTGTTTTTTTAGCGTATAAAATGTTAAGAATGTTTTTTCTATCTTGTGGAATTCTATTCAGAATTTTAATTAAAAGGCCGGAAATGCAAAAATAATTCTTTTCTCAGGACATTTAGATATATATTTATACGACATTAATTTCAAGAACGATTAAAACTCCCTTTTCTCTATTATTGTCTTTTTCACTTTCATTTTATTTAAAAATATTAATATAAAAAATATAACTACAGTATCTCTCTTAGTCTGACTCTTCCCCTTCGACCTGTCCGGCATGGGTGACCCTACCGGTAACTTATTAACG